TTGTAGAGTCATGAGTGAGTATCGACATAGCATCTCTCAATCGCTCTTTCATTTTCAATGATTCTCTAACTGACGATATCTACACTGAAATTAGTGCACATCCCCAAAATATACCCAAATTCTGTATAAATATTTCAGTCTAAAAATGACTCACAACAGTCTGCAATAATACTTGTGTAATTCATGATGATTAAAAATTGAATAAAAACTTGGGTGACAGGAGAATATAAACCAGTGGACACTGGGTAACTAACTAGATCAGCGCTTTACCTACAGAGCCATGAAACTCAAATACTAACTACGGCGTCAATACATTGAAATCATCACTAGCTATGTATGTATAGCCAGTTATTTTGTGAATGAATGATATTCAGTTAGCTGTTCACTTAGCATTCTCCCATCAATTGTCCAGATGAGTCTAAAAAAGAAACACAGTTTCCCTGCACCGCATTATATTAATGTCAGTCCCTTAATTCAAGACTCTGTATTTTGATGTGGTTGTGTTCTCTGAGCTGGATGGTTAATTTGCGAAGCTTTCATCACCTTACTAGGTGAAATCTTCAGCGCATACTTCAATTTGAAGTCAAAGAAACAATCAGTTCCAATACAAGTAGCCTAGAAGGTGTGAAAACACACAAAAACAACCAATCACGTACAAGTTCACCGGGAGTGATGATTAATAAACTCGTGGAGAAATCTAAAAGCTCACTTCAAATTGAAGTATGCGCTGAAAATGTCACCTAGTAAGGTGATGAAAGCTTCGCAAATTAACCATCCAGCTCAGAGAACACAACCACACCAAAATCATCCACCTGAGCTACAAATCTTCTCCATCATATCTAGACTCTGTATCTCGGATAAGCCATTGAAATAACGAAATACTGCTTCCTAAAAGCTATTCAGTTACCAGAATAAATATACAGCCTAGTGTTGAATAAATTACAGTTCAGTTCATAGTGTTTATATGATGCTTGATCTCCTACCCTTCAATATCGAATTTGGAAGTAACATGAATGAATTGAATCGCTGACTACTTCTTTCTTATTAAGTTTACTGTCTATCATGCATGCAGAGAATTATTCACTATTGTTATTATTACTATTATTTTAAGAATTATCTATTACATGAATACAAAAATGAATAACACAATTGAGGATTATTCAAATGAAAAAATAACGTAATTCATGACATTTTTTAGTCGATCATACATAGTTCAGTTATCCAGCTGTGCGCTCTGGTAAGCATACATGTTCCTTTTAAGTATCTAACATAACTAATTGTACCTGAGGTGTGTTATATCAAGTTTATTTTGGTTATGCTGATGCAATGGTGCACAGTACACTACACAAAACCGTTCATCACAGCTAAACCTAAAGATGACATATAATTGATTCGTAACCTGTTTAATACTAAAAGGAATTCTTCCCTCCTAACAAAAAGGACTAAAGCATTAATGATACTCTCAATAATTAAAGGATTGAATAGCTAATGATTAAAGTGAGAAGTAGTGTAGTATACACAATAATTTTTATAATAAATCATACTGATTTTTGAGTTAGATATTATGCACAAAAACTCATTTTTCAGCAAGAGAAAAACAGTGCAGGATCTTGAATGTTATGTCATCTAGAAGTTTTGGAAAAGGTATAAACAGTGAATGACATAAGTAGTCTCTTCACACAAATATTTGGGATGACTTCATATGGATTCATTTACCGGCCTTCAGAATATATATATATATATATGTGATGTAAACACCCTGTTAACAAGGATCCCAATCAATGAAACTATCGAGATCATTTGCCAGCAGTTGGATCTTTACCCACTTCCAGTGTGGGAATTTGAAACCTCTACTGCTAATGTGTACTATGGGTGTACAATTCCAGTTTGACAACACTCTTTACTGCCAAATAGATGCTGTAGCTATGGACAGTCCACTCAACCTTATTTAAGCATTTTGTCTTCATGTTCAACCTTGAGAAAACAAAGTTGAAACATGCAACGGACGAAACAATTTCTCATTGTTGATATGTCGATGACACATTCGTAGTGTGCAACAATGAAAGTCATGCTTCCTACGTACTCAGATTATTCAACAACGCACATACGAATACTGAATTTACTATGGAACATGAAAATGACATTGCCATGCAACGCCTGGAAGATGGTAGTCTCCAGAGGTCAATTTATCGAAAGCCTACATGGAATGGACAATACCTGCATTTTAATAGTTTTTGTCCCAATAGCTATAAATGAACACTAGTAAAGACTCTGTACTATAGAGCTGGGAGAATATGCTCTACAGAGAAATTAGAGGGAGGATTCATGATTCTCAAAAAGATATTGAAAAACAACGGTTACCCACAGAGATTCATTAACAAATGTGGAAGATGCGAAGCATCAAAAATCAAACAAATCACAGTGTAAAAAAGCCTATCTTCATTCAACTCTATTTTAAAGGTGAAGATATTTCAGCAGTAGTCAACAGAAGATTGAGTACATCACTAGTAAGAGCCTATCCTGAAGCTAAGTTGGTTCCCGTCTATCGGACAACATGCTACTTGGTGCAGTCAGAAGTCGAGGGATATCAACTCCAACTCTGTGTACAAATTTACATGTATCGGCATGAGAATTTACATTTGGAGAACAGAAAGAAGGAAACACCTCCACCTTCTGAACATGTACCTAAAAGTCTATGTCTCAAGGGAACAAACGCTTACAATAGTGCCATTACCAGGCATCTCCTTGATACGGGTTCCACTCAAGACTCAAAGGAATATATATAGGTTAGAAAAGCATCTTAAAGATTTTTTTGACATATGTTTTACATATTTGCTTAATAAATGTTTACCGTATTTAAAATAATTAATTAAACTTCTTTTAATTGCGAAATTATGCTTAATCCATAGTATTAACTCCGTAAGCCCTGTGATGCACAAACAAACAATTCAAAAGCAGTAATACGTATGATAACAGTCAATTTCAAACTGAAGTTTACATTGCTTCAGTTCATTGTTTACCAAATACTTGTGTTTGGTGACTGGAGGCAGTTGGCAGCAATTCCTTGATCTGAAACTAATGACATCCCCACAAGGATACGATCATTTAATTTAATTTAAAGTCCACCACTGTGAGAAGTCACCTGGCTTGGCAGTCACATTACACTCATGACTGATAGAATTCAGTCAGCACTACTAAGGACCAATCCTGGACAAATGACACTAGTTACACCTAAGTGACCAATCAGTGTAAAACTACTCATTTTCCAAAGAAAAAAATGAAATGGAACATGTTAGAAGAAGATATAGGATCGAATCAGAGAATGGTCTCCCTTTTCTTGTCAAAAACTTTAATAACTGAAGCAATTAATACAATGGATGCCTGAAAAATAATTATCAAATTTGATATGATATAGAATTTTCAAACTGAAGCTTTTGCATATGAAGTACAAATAAGAACTACAATTGGAATGGAAACATGTGACCTGTATTCAAAGCCAATAGCTAAATGCCTACTCAAATCTTTGATCAGACGTTTTCTTTAAAATACAGACAAATTTTGATAGTAAGTAAAAATTAATTGAGAACACCGAGACCCAGCTAGTCTCCTTTGAATACCTAATGTTCACTTTCCTATTCCCTCAGAATAAAGTCAGTTCATTCATTGCAAATAAATCTCTTCAAGTTCTGCTTTACAGGGATTTGTTTGACTTTAAGTATGATCACTAACTGATATCAGTTAGAGAATTATTAAAGACAAGAAGTACTTTATAACTGTTTCGTCCTAGATTGGGACGGTTCAGCGGTATGCATCCATGACTCTGCCGGGGATCGAACCCAGGGCTTTCAAGTTATGCTGACCATTCAGTCGCTGAGACTGAATATAATAGCATATCAATTCTAACTTCTGAGAGTTAGGGATATATAGTGCGGAGTTAATCAAGTTTGGTGTGAGGACAGACAGTCACTGATGGCACTAGCTGACGGTTGTTCTATATATCACGAACTAGCATAAGTTAGAATTCATCGGCCTCTAGAAACTGTCGCAGCAATTGAGTAATCAACTGACTCGCCTCATAATATGAAGATCCGGCTCCTTCCCAGATCAGGTCATGAACGTATTCTGTTGAAGAGTCCTAAAACTAGGACGAAACAACTACCCAGTATATCCTGGGTTTTATAGTTCTCTAACTGTGAAATCGTTTCGTGATCAAACCTGAAATATCTCTCTCTCGTAAGACAGTTTTGTATGGCTATAAAATTTTGAAACTGGAACAATCATCACTGAAGTATCTTCTATAGCTCAAAACTTGCTTATATGAAATAAACTCTGATTGATAATGAGCTCGTTTCACACTATGAATAATTTCCTTCACGGTAAATATAGCTTTAGTCATTTATTCAACCATGTATGCTTCAACTGATGCAGACTGGATTAGTTTCAACGTGAATAAGAGGCGCAATGAATGAATGAAAACTGGATATCGGCTCAAAGCATTACAAATAATGAGATCCTACTAAGGACCAAACCCAGTGTAAGTTCAGATTACCAGCTAAACCCGTTGACCATTCAGCTACTGGACTGGAATCCAATGACTCCTGAAATGTATCGTCCGTCAATTCACGATATAGTGCCACCTTAATAACCGATACCATCAATGGTCAGATGATGGTAAATGTTTAACACACACTTGACCACATTCTGACTTACCAATATTAATTCTCTTTCTTAACCAATTCAATTCAATGTCATATCGATTAGTTAATTAATTAAATATCTTTTATAAAAACAGCAAAATAAACCAGAATACAGATATGCATAGAAAAATTCAAGAGAACGCGTTATAAAGCAAGCGAATGAAATACCTAAATACCGATATTCATTATTCACAAAATTGTATTATCATTAGTATCTGCTCTATGCTTAAATGAAGAGAATTGAACATTGAGCATATGCACACACGCACACACACACACTTCAAGGTCACTCACAGCACATACCTGAATGTGTATTTGTCGATAAGGGCACCCGCATTATTCCAGTAGAGTTTATCAATTTATTCGAGGTGTTGTGAATGCTTGTTCTTGACTCAGCACTGTTATCATATTCATTGCCAGTAGTATTAGTATTATTATTATTGATTGCAAAGGAAGCTGATAAGGATGATGGTGATTGCAAAGACAACGATGTTGATGATATCGTTGTAGGAACAGACAGTGAAGAAGGCTTCAACCTATTCTTCATACCATTTTCATGATATCCATTACTGACTTGATTTGAATTACTCTGTGATATTGACGTATACGATTGTATCAATGATTTGACCATAGAATTCGATGACGGTGTAGTCGGTGTTGCTGTTATTGTTGTAGTTGTTGCTGTCAAAGGAGACGGAGAAGGAGAACATGAAGACGCTTCACTTGATTTTGTTTCCGAACTATCTATAAAATTAATTGAAGATGTAGATGAAGTTGTATTGGTTTCATGGTTTTTATTATACGATGGGATATGATTAAGCGTGGTGATAGAAGAATGCGGTGGGATACTGGGAGTTTCCACTTTTTCATTTTTCAAAGCTGAAGATGCTGATGTTGAGGATGAAGAACTCAATCTAGAAAACATGAATGCAGATGATGGAGTGATCGGTGATGGAGTTAATGCGGAAGTCGATACTGTCGATGGTGTGATCGGTGTAACTGCAGGCGGTGTTGTTGTCGATGTTACTCGTGGTGAAGAAGTTGGGGATCCAATGTGTTTAGAGTTTAGATCTACTAAGTCATCAAGCGTATCTGAAGAGTTCCGTGAATCAATTGTGCCATTTGTTGAGGAGCTTGTCTGAAGATTAGACTCTTTCTGTTTATGACTGCGTGTTGGCAACGGGAGGACATTAACAGCTCCTGGTAAACGTGAACCACGACGTGGTGGACGAGGTAAATTATCATAAAGATTTGATGCATTCCCCGGTTCTGGACTGCTTTTAGGCTAAATAAAAAGAATATGCAATACAATAACCGACTTTTATTATGAATTAATATGAAGTGAATATTTGGCTTATGAGGTTTCAAACAATTTCAATAAATTACAAAAATTTACATTAGGCCAAAAGATAAGTCATAATTTAGATACCTAACTGTCAGACTGTTCATACAGTTCCTTGCTCTACAAGTAAAACATAGAGCTTCACTCTCTGAAGATTCAGTGAATGTGTTGTTACTTTTACAAGGTAGGGTCACTGGTCTCAGACCCAACCTCCTCCCTTCTTTTGGCTTACTACCGGCTAGTAAAGCCAGGAGAGGTTTAGCAGTTCATCGACCGAGGATCGAAAACGGACCACGTACATGGTTGGTGAGTACTCTGCTATTGAATCACTGGACCTCGTAGTGTAGCGGTTAGCATTCTGAACTCTGAATCCAGCGACCCGAATTTCATTCTCGGATAGGCCTAGGCGCTTTTAAACACCGTTACGCAACACCACAACAACCCATATCTGCCCAACACAAAGCAAATTTTCATACATCGAATGTCAAGCAACATCTCTATCCTACTTGAGCAAATGCAACAGTATTGATGAGTGGAGCCGTCAAACTACGTCATACCAGGCTGTTGTCCATTCACGTTTGGATAGAACAACTTTAAGAATATTACTAGTCGTCACTACCAAAAAAGCTAAGAATTATAAGCTAATAGGCTTAAATACAAGATATATTCTAAATTTTATCGTGAAAAATACTCACTGTTGACAAGCCTAAAAGTTTTAAATCAGAAGTTGTATTCCTCTTCAAACTCCATGTGTTCTACAGATAGTGATTTATTCAAGTTGTCATTATAAAATCAATCGAAGTCTATTAATAGACTAATAAATTCAGTAGTCAATTTTTTTCAATATGGTTATGGATTCTTATTGTGACAGTATCGGAAAAGCAAGACAGGTGATCATTACTCTCAAGTCAATGTAGAGATTTACAGTACCAGTGGGTGCTTTAATCAAACGAATAAGATTAGATTTTTTGAAACTAATGTGATGTTAATCAGACAGGCTGCAAACTCTCATCAACACCTGTCTTCGCTCGATTCTGAAGATCAAACGACCGGATAAGGGAGGCATCGAACTGACCAACAACCTATTTCTCAATAAATATACAGAAGGAAGTTTAAATAGGTTGAACATACTCTGAGAAGATATTCAAGTAACCTAATACTCCAAACGGGCCCTCGAGTGGAGCCTGAAAGGGAAGCGGCCAGTTGATTTTGGGTCAGCGGATTACATGGAGAAGGTCATTTGAAGACAAATGAAAGCCTGTGGACAGTTGTGAAGCTAGTTGAAAGTGATAGCAGAGAGTCGAGTGGAATTCAGATGTGCTACTGAAGCCCTATTTTCCACTAGAAACTCAAGGAATGAATGAATAAAGAAAAAATAGGTTATCAATTTGGTTAAGCTAAAACTTTTTGAGCAGTAATAGAAAGATTTCATTAATTGACTGTTTCATATATAGCATAAAATCCTATTGAACTGATGCTCACTTACCAGCTTAGTCGCATGTAAAATGGACTCAGACAAACAAAAGTAGGTGAATAGTTACTGGTTGGAAATCAGGTATCTAAACAGCTTATGTTTCCTGTACAAAATGAGATTATGCAAACACCGAATAGTCGTTTGGCTTATTCAGCGTATATTTCGTCAACGATGTACCCAGATCCTCCATCTCAGACATCTGAATCATTCCAAACTACCATACGGTGTTTGAATCACCTTGTTCTGAATAGCAGCTAATTCTAGTTGACGTATGTCAATTCTAACTAGTTACGTTACTCAGTACTACAAATTATACGGCTTTAATACCGTCTATCCTAAAATTATATATGTTGTTGAGCCGATAACCTGCTGTAATTTGAATAATTTTCACTTTCAGAGGAAGCCAGAGTAACACCAACTCTGCTATTGCATACAGCCAATTAGACTCAATATTCACCCTGTTCACTGTGTATGACGGAAAACGTTTACAGAGTTAATGATATTTTTGTGTGAAAATAAGTGGGTGACAGAGAATTGCTTATCTCTTTTCGACGTATTCATTTCCTTAGCTGTACAGACGCAAATATATATGAGTTTGATGGGACCTTAAGAGGATCAATCCATAGAAAAGCTACTTGGAATGGTTAACTAACAAGCTTCTATAACTGGGTACCCATTCAACGAAAGCGGAATTTAATTAAATCCCTTGCCATCAGCATCCGACGAATCTGTAGTCCCGATGTTCTAGAAACAGAATTAGATCTTTTGAGAGAAATCTTCATCCAAAATGGATACCCACTGAGATTCATTGTCAAAAATATCAAACCAACGATTTGGAGAAGTGAAACTTCACTTGCACCGAAAAAGAAACTTATTGAACTTGGATTTTAAGGGAGATTTAGCAAGCGATATTCTCAAGAGAAGGACTCCAGCTGTTACGTGGGGTTCTAGTGAGAAGTCGTGACCAGTAGGGTGCAGCAGGTCGAGTGTGAGGACAAATACTCGCCGAAGACATTGGCTAAGGGTCGCGCTATGTCATGAATTGGCAGAAGTTAGAATTCATGGGCCATTGGATCAGGTCCCAGTGGCTTGTAACCAGAAGGTCCTGGGTTCGAATTCCGGTGGGTGCGTACTGATGAAGAGTCCCAAACTAGGACGAAACAGCTGTCCAGTACTCCCAGGTTTTCCAATGGTTCTCTAACTAATGTCAGCTCATGATTCAATCCTGTAATTAATTTTGTTTGTTTGCCTGTTTCTTTAATTACTCATAATTCTTGTATTCATTTAGAACTCTTACGTAATTTCGTATTCTCTACTTTGTTTATGTGTGCATCCTGAGTACAACTCAATCATCAAACTATTAATACTATCACGTAACTCCCTTTTAACGAGTGTTTGTGACAACTTATCATCTTTGTTAGTACACTGGTTTCATTAACACCCAATTTTCTTGACCGTTTTCGTATTACGTAACTCTACCTAAAACTTACTAATTTTCACCTGTTTAGTTGAAATAACCATAACCAATTGTATTTTGTTTGACAAACTTAATGTACACATGCATACAAAATAACTCATATATATTTGCGATTGTACAGCTAAGAAAATGAATTTACTGAAAAAAGACTCTTCGCTGAACTACGTGTTTTGTTTTCATTGATGCCTGGATGGGGATTATTCATGAATTACTTATCTATTATACGATAATATTACGATAATTTCAAGTTAGATCAAGAACTAGCAGGGAGTGTATGACAGCTGTTTCGTCGTAGACTGCAACTCTCCAATAGTATGTAACCATGACTCTATCGGGAATCAAACTCAAGACCTTTAATTTACACAGTCTAGTTATTTTGATCAATCACAATAGACAAGCATTGCAAGCAAATTAAAGGGAAATGTGTTTTCTGTAAGTATTATTATCATTATTGTTTCCTTTAATTCCTAGAGGAACATAGGGCTTTAGCCGTGCGTCTCCATTGCGTTCGGTTCTCTGCTAGAGTCTTCACCTGGCTCCATGTCTGCCCACATGCTTTCATATCCTCTTCACATGACCTCCTCCAAGTCACCCACCCTCGCACTGACGACCAACTCGCCGCTTCCCTTTCGGGTTCCACTCGAGCAATGGCTTGTCTAGTGATGTCACTTGATGGTTTCCTCAGAGTATGGCCAGCCAATCTATCTCCATTTATTCCTGCCTATTTGTTTCACAATCGGTTCCTGGTTGGTTCGCTGCCAGAGATCTCTGTTGCTGTAAGTAAGTATTGATAATTAATTGCCTCAGAAATCCAATTCAAATCTATGCACTATTTATTTTAGTTATTCTAATATCTCATTAACCAGTTACAACAGACGTCAACTTCCCTTGATTCAACAGTGATTCATTACAATTCAAGACACTCTGTGATATGTACTACTATTCAAAGCATAGACAACTTAGTGGATTCAAAAACTACCAATATTTCTATTCAGTCAAGTTTGTCATTCATATTAAGTTCGTTACAAGTACAACTGACAAGAACTAAGATACCATTCACTAAATAACCTATTGATAATATCATTAATCTCAACACCGACGTTGACGTGTATTTGATTTCTCAAGGTTACAGATAAGTCTTGGTGTTCTTTTATTCCTTTGCGTCCTGATTGGAACATAGGACTTCAAAATATCAGTAGCAGTGGTGTTATTCCTTTACTGGGTGAGGTTGCTAGTCTTACGCCGAACCATCCCTCTTTACTGGGATTACTACCTGCTAGGCAAGGTTTAGGAGTTCGTCAGCCGGGGATCGAACGCCAGACCAGGTGCGTGGTTGGCGACCATCCTACCGCTGAACCATCGACGCTGTGTTCAGATCTAATGCTCCTTACTGACTACTGTCATCGAGTGAAATACACCACAGTGATGAATTTTGTTCTTTTTTTTTAGCTTAGTGATCACATCACAAACTTAATTGGTTGAACTCAATCAGGACTTAAGTCTAGACTGTATACAACTAGTTGACTTCCAATGACATAACACCACCATAATCCAAATGACTGATTGGAGGGTAAACTTGTCTAAGCATTTGAAAAGTATTTATAGTTCTCAATATACATATATGAAGCACTGTAACTTTTGTGAAAGTGAGAATGCTGGTTGTTACATTTTCTATCACAAACACACACACACACAGACACAAGACATGCGTCAGTTTAAAGTCGTAAACAAACTTATAGCTATGTGAATGCACACAGTATGCAGAGGAATATAATTTACCACACGCGCACACACCGATTGTTGACGTAATTCGATTCCACAAAGAAACAAAATAAAAAAAGAGAAGCACATCAGTCAGACAACTAACTGATCACTGTAATATTCAGCTATGATGAATCACAATAAATCAAAGTATGTATGTTGGAAGGAGGGAGGGATTGAATAACACACGCATGTACACACCCATACATTTATACAGCTAATTTGTATACGTATGTACCACAAGATGGGTAATAAACAGGTCATATTTTTGCACATATATAAAAATATTGTTTTACACATTAGAATATGCTGTATTAATAGTCTGACTTAGGAAATCGACAGTGTTAGAATAAGATTATTTTGGAAAAGATGGTAAATGTTGAACACAGACGCACACACAGTTATAAATAAACATTCATATGCGAATGTATCAGGAAAGCAGACTGCAAAAAAAATGTCTATTGAAAACCTTCTGCGATAGTAACAAAAACAACTAAAGCATAGAAGCCGGGAATGAATATTCTCGTTCAGCATTGGACTAAAACTCAAACTGATAATAAACTGCACAAACAAACACAGTAGAGGTAGCAGAATAACTTAGGCTAAAGGTTGGGCTGGTTAAATGACACACATAAACTTTAACTACTGACGAGAGACAAGAAAAACAAAACCTCCTTATTATGACGTAAACTCATCAGAGTGTAAAGATGTATATGATAGAGACTATTGATTTTCAGTAACAAAATTATTCTTTAGAATACTTGTCCAAAGTAGTTAGGATTGTTTACTGAAAATTTTGTTTTAAACTTCAACGCACCATTGAATTATTCTTATTAAGAGTCGGTATTGTAACAAAGATTGAGTATGTCGACCCGGAGGAAGGGAACCAACAGGGAATTAGAAAGGCAGTTCCATTAAATAACAGCTGATACCCGTTGAAGAAGAAGTGATTCTCAAGGCTCATTAGCCAGGTGAATAAAGCTTTAAAGTTCAAAACAATCGACGCTGGGTTCGAGTCCCAGTAAGAAAGTCATCACCGTCTGAGATGCATCTATTTACCACCGAGTAGTCCCAAATGAAATAACATTCAGTTAGGATTACAATGAACACTTAGAAATGTTACAGTCAGTTCAGTAATATATAACAGTTTTGTGGAAATTAATCAACGACAGAGTTATCAATGTAAAACTGTTAAGTGCAAACAGTCCAGTCTAAGGAGAGAGTGGAAAATATAAAAGGTTTGATAAGTGCGTGAAAACAGCTTAATATGGTTATTTTTTGGTTTATAAGCTAATAGCAGGCAAACAATTTAGACAAATTGAGGGGTGTATAACAATTTTCTGACAAAGACGCCTAAGAAATTATTCCTTAGTGTTGTAATCCAGCTGTGATTCATTGAAAAGATTTATGCAATCTGTATGAATGGAAATCGTTTCTTTTAGTGTTGCATTTCTGCCGTACAATTTAATTGAAAGACATCTCACTCTAGAATAAATAAACCACGGAAGATAATATTCTTGTATGTCTTTTAATACATCTAACCAAAGTCTAACACACTTCACATTTCATATTCGATCCACTAATAGTAAAAATGAATCTAAATATAAAAAAGGAATTGATTTGGTGAGCCATGTAAAAACAGTTCATTGTTTTAAGCAAGAGTCTTCACCACCACCGAAAATGTATTACACCATATTAGACAACGCTATCAAAGGCTTGATAATTCAAAAGATAGGCATGTTAACATAACACGTCAATAGAACTTACTGCTTTACAAGGTGTTGCCTTGAATACTTCAGCATTAGAAGGTAGTGCATTTGGATCAGCGTCATCCGATGGTTCTGGAGTGGCTTTAGGAGGAATACACTCAGTACTACTGCCGCTACCACCACCATTCACATTATGCGAACTCGATCGATGTACTGAAGATTCACCAGGTACTTTTGCTCGTTTTGATCTAGCACGTGGTAGTGTTCCATGAATACTGTCCATATGATCATTATCTAAGTGGTTTTCAGTTGTATGAGAGAATGATGTACCTTTAATATGATTACCACTGCTTATATCCCCATTGTTAGCATTATTGCTATTGTTGACATTCAACTCTAAATTGCTAGACGTCATCTGACTACGCTTTGTACGTTGTTTAGCTTCCAATGCTAATTGACGTATTTGTGTAACTAATGCATCGACTGGTTGACCATTCGGTGGACTACATCGAAAAAAGAATTTCCCATCACCAGTAGAACATCGTCGGCCAGCATCAACACGTAGAACACCATTCGCTGCACCAAATCTGTAGATAATTAATGTAATATTTTTTTAAATGGATAATTCATTTGAAAAGAGAATTGGGATACAAAAAATACAGAAAAGTTATCCATTTTAAAAGTGAAATCTCTGCAGCTCTTGAATGGTAAACTACATACAAACGATTATGTATAGTGGCTGAAAGAATCTGAACAGCACACAGTAAAAGCCAAAATGACAATAATTCTGTATATTCAAAACCAACAGTTAGAGAATACATGCACTTATGCAGTCAACTTGTTCAATTACCACAAAGTTTCATACACGCTCATTAGCTCTAATTGACTGGTAGCTGACGAAATCTCAGTACAATTACAAAATCCCTGTCGTAATATCCAAAAGGTGTGTAAACTGTACAGAAATTCACCTTGTTACACTTTACAACTGAGACGGGATCAAAGAAAGCAAAACAATATGCCAAGGTAATTGTTTCTCGCCAAAGTTATCTTCATTCAACCGCTTGTGTTAGGCGAAAGAACAGACTAAGAAATATTAGGATCAGGTGCTCAGGGATTAAGCACCCAACTTTCAGTCAGCAGGTTTGGGATTCGAGTCTTACTTCGGTTTACTTCAATCTGAACAACTGAGTAGTATTACTAGTCCTCAAAAATGAGTTCCACCCAAAATGAGTTAGAGAATGTTAGGCAGTGAAGGTATTGACTATTCATCGATCAAGGTGAGTAAAATATCCGTTGCAAATTCTACTCAGCTATTTGCTTCTACAGGCTGTGTTAGACGAAAGAGATTCAGTTTGGAATATTTTAAGGATGATCAGATCAAAACATGACTCTAGTCTATATTGTATCCAACTTTCTATGAAGATCACTTACAGAAGGGCAGATCGCCTTGCAAAAGTAGTGATTGAGGAATTCTGTACAAGTTAACAAATCTTCATTATTTTCTCCACTCTTTCTCCCTTAAATTCCTGTACTCACCTCTATTTTGTGCTTTTTCAGAGTATGGCAACTTTAAACCGATACATTCAGGTGCAAATACAGTTCTACACTGTTCTGTTAATTACACGGATAAAAATTTATCTTATATGAATAAATCATTGCGTAATATCTAGATTATGGAATTAATTAGGGGAAAATAGGTTTTCAGTCTACAACACTGAACAGTAGAAATACGAGACTGAGAAAAAAAAACCATTTTTACCACTTCTTTATGTTAATTATAAATCATTTAGAAAATATCAAATTTTGTTTTCGTCTGTATTCTGGCGTCTATATACGAAACTTCGATAACATACTTTCCACTTATTTGTGTGTAACACACATTTGAAGGAAGTCTAACAGGCTGTATCGTTGAGAATTCAACATGCTGTAAGGTTGTTATTAAACCAAACGTTTTAATTACCTCTTAAGTATATAAGTTAAAATGTCCACAAAATTTACTCAACCATTAGTTTCTGTGACAAAAGCATTCATTCATATATCAGCAGAATCATTGCCTTTGAAATTTTAGTCTTTGACGGTATAATATAACCCGGAAAAGTGAGTCGGAGGTTCACTGGTTGAATGTTAGTCAACCAAACATGTGGTTACGGTTGGATTCCTGACTGACATACTTCTATTCAAGTATTGGTTTGTAGGGTTTGGTTGATTGGTTACAGGATTTCATCATGAGGTGACATTGGAAAACCCGAGAGTACTGGACAGCTGTTTCATCTTAGTTTGGGACTCTTCAGTAGTACGCACCCACCGGGAGTCGAACCCAGGACCTTCTGGTTACAAGGTGAGCTCGTATACCATTCAGCCACTGGGACCCGATCCAATGGCCCATGAATTCTAACTTCTGCCAATTCACGACATAGCGCAACCGCTAGCCAATGTCTTCGGCGAGTACTTCTAAACCACACCTAGCAGACAATAAGCCCGGAAAAGAGGTCAAGTTAGGCCTAAGGCTACCAATCTCACTCCATAGAAGGACCAGTACCACAGTCAAAAATTGAAGTCTTATGTTCCATTAAGAACTCAAGGAATGAAAAAGGAGAACAATAAAACAATGAGTCAACACACAAAATTATTCCAATAATCAAGTGAAATGTGAGTAGATTTAAACGTTGGCACATTTTGATTAAAGAAATTTAAAAAAAGGTTAACTTGATCAAGCCCTATTCAGGGATAATTTTTAGTATAGCTGACAAATGATCAGCGTGATATTCAAACTTTATTTGATTAACACGCTTAACCAATTACAAGGAGTAATTTCATTTGATTAATTTACCTTTAATAGAAAATTATTATTTAAAATCGCTCAACAAATAAATTCATAAAGGTAAAAAAAGTGTAAACAAGTGTCTACTTGGGAAAAACAATGTAGCCTATGAAATGTAAAGATGAATGTCCGATTAAACATTAAAAGACGCCAAATGGGACATTCTAATAAACGGTGGACAATTTTCAAGTTTTGGTTTATAAGCATTTGCTTAATTTGAAAGTATACTCTATTTTTAACCGAAGTCAGTTAGAGAAAAATGAAAAATTGGAGACTACTGAACAGTTGTTTCATTCCACTTGTAAGCACACACGACAGCATCAAGGATGGAAAAGACGACCCTCAGGTTACGAGGTGAGCACGTTAACATTCAACCACTGGTGGTGGAATCCAGTAGCTTATGAATCATAACTTCTGATTATTGACAATATACGTTGTCACCGCCATCCAGTGTCATCAGAGAGTATCTGTCATAAAACTTGGTGGAGCCCACTGATCACATTATAACTTCAGGAAGATCAGTCAGTTACTAGTGAGAAGTGATGAGCAGTGCTGATATAGCTCACTAGCTTAAACACTCGGCCTTCAGCTAATAAGTCCTAGCTACAAATTCTACCCCGCCTACTTCATCAATGGGCAACTGTGTAGTATCACCAACCCTTATACAGTAAGTATGACTGATGGAACATGAATGATTTTTTCCACGAAAATGAGTCCTAACAACTAACTGGGTATCTGATTAGTTTTCAAATAGTGACCAGTCGAGATTTGATTGACTTCAGTTAGAGAAAACCAACCAGTACTGGCCAGCTATTTTAAACTAATTTTGAACTACACTACAACAGTTCTCACTCATGAATAATTTCATTTTACCTGAAGTCTGCATATCAACAAATGAAGAAAAGATTGAAAAGATGATTTTACAGTCATACAAAAAAATATTTCGGATACTGTTGAACATATTTAGTGCTAAAACATTTATGACAAAGAATTAAACAGTTGTGAAAATAAACCATTAAAGCCAGAATAAAAATATCTTTCTGTATTCTAAAATTATGAAATATAATTAGAACTCATGGAAAATTCCCATTGTAACATATAGAAAATCAAAACAAATGATTCAGCGAAGAGACTCTTTTCAACGAATTTATCATCAAGCTGTACAATCGTATATATATATATGGTTTTATTAAGAAGTTATATCCGGTGAGGGAATTGAATCATAGGTGTGAATGCATAAAATAGTAATAATAATATGAAATGCAATTAAAACTAAAATGTTTGTGATTATAATCGTAGTTAAATGTCAAGTGGCAAAGCAAATTAATGTCATATATAGAATAATTCATAGGATGGATAGAACTTGAAAAAGGGTGTGCAATTATAAGATTAGTAGACAAATCGAATAAAATAAAAACGTTACGTAATATTGTGTGAAATTTAATAGCATAGAATTTAATGTTGTAAAAAGGAATTGATTTAGAATGACAAGTGGAACAAGTGAAATAATACCGGGGACAGTTAAAAGTGAGAGTAGTAATAGTAACAATTGACGTAATAAGGAAGAGTATACAAATTGAATAGACAAAAATGAAAAATTGGTAGAGCTAAAATATGATTGGGGATTACCATACTTTAGCATAGAGGGATTAAGACCATGAAAGTTGGAGGGGTTGAACGAACTTTTTCTGTTTCGATAGCCAAAGCTTCAAGTTCTATCCATCCTATGAATTATTCTATGCTATCAAACAAAATCCCTACAAAACCAATACTTGAAAATATTCTATATATGACATTAATTTGCTTTGCCACTTGACATTTAACTACGATTATAATCACAAACATTTTAGTTTTAATTGCATTTCATATTATTATTACTATTTTATGCATTCACACCTATGATTCAATTCCCTCACCGGATATAACTTCTTAATAAAACCATATATATATATATACGATTGTACAGCTTGATGATAAATTCGTTGAAAAGAGTCTCTTCGCTGAATCATTTGTTTTGATTTTCTATATAATTAGAAGGCGAAATAAAATCATACCTTCACTTCCGTATTATAACAATAATAATAAAGCTTTATTTTAGACAATATGTGAACATATGATACAAAATTTTTCAGTGTATTCAGTTCCAAAACACTTTTTTCTTCATACAGGATTTTCATGTAAAGTGACAATCTCGAGTATATCTTCATTTAGTTGAGGAATTACACAGCGTTTACTTCAAAGCAAGTTAAATCAGCAGCGCGCAAGTTCATGTAAAGGTCATTTGATATAAATGAACGATTGACACAATAATAAATCCATATGAAATTAAGAATTTTGGTGGAAAGCAATTTCGGTAGCCCAGCGATTCAAGGAGGCCGCTTATCCTATTATGTAGATGTAAAGATAGATAACCATAAATTTGCCTACCATTATTAGCTGACTTTTACATCTTCGATACTTCACACTGTATTTTACTTATGTTCATTGGTAGTTGAATAGTAGAGTGCATGTAGTTCAAGTTTATTCGTCTGTCGATGAATCTTTAATCTCGCCTGGTTTACCAGCCAATAGTTAACCCAGCAAAGAAAGAAGGTTGATCATGAGGTCAATAAACTCGACCTTTAAAATTAACATCACCACTACTGGAACTTTTAAAAAGCTTGAATCGCTTATGTTTCACTCATAATGCAAAGGAATAAAGAAAATGTATTACTTGTACTACTACTACTACTACAGTCCTGTCTTTTTATTATCTCAATGTATCTA